AAAACAATTTTAAAGGGAGTAAAATGGGTGATAAAAACCCACATGGATCATAAGCTGATGCAACAAATGAAAGAATGTCGCATTTCTTTGGGTTGGAGATTTCAGGTGGGTTTGGTAAGTTAAGTCTAAATTTATCTTCGATTGGGCAATATTTAATACCAAGAAATTTAATTTTTGAGCTGGGGAGTTTGTCCTCTTCTGGGACATCTTGTATAATTTCAGGGCAATTACTTACAAATTCTCTGAGTTTCATATTTGCCGTTGCAAAAAGCTTTGTTGCCTCAAGACATTTTAATTTTCCTTCTGTTATAAAGGAGGCTGTAAGAAGTATATTGTCTACATAAATATTTTCTTCCAATTCTTGTGATAGAGAGGATTTGTTTTTTAAAAGGTGGTAGCGAATTGTTGCTGCAAGGAGAAATGGTGAACAGATTAGTCCAAATGGTACACGGGCAAATCGATAAATTTGGATATTAGCCGAGGAGAGAGGAAGTGAAATGTCTTGTAACCACAAAAAGCGTGTTACGTCACGATCAGAAGGATTTATACTAATTTGAAGGAAGGCCTTTTGAATATCGGCCGTGATTACGTATTTAGGGAGGCGGAATTTAAATAAAAGACCGACAAGGTCATTCAGACGGTTAGTTCCAGAGAATAAGCATTCGTTAAGTGACAGGTTCTTTCCTAATTTTGCTGAACCGTCGTAAACTATTCGAACCGTTTTCTTGTCCTGACGTATTACTGGGTGGTGGGGAAGGTAAAGAAGTGGTACACAATTTTGATTTGGGTTTTGAACCTTTTCTATTATTCCCAATTGGAGCTGTTCTGTGAGTATTTCTTGGTATTTGGAAATAAGCGTTTTATCATTTTTCAAGGAATTTAATACAGAACGCAAGCGTCCGTAACATAGAGGAAAATTCGTTGGTATTGGCAAATGGGCTGGATCGGTTTTAAACGGGAACTTTATTTCATAACGCCCGTCAACAAATTTGATGTCTTTAACGAATTGGGTTGATACCTTGTCTTCAGAGTTTTCCCCGGGATCCTCTTTTATACCGACTCCTTCTAGGGAAAGAAATTGTTGTATTTGATCATCGATTTGGGAGCAAAAATTAGTATTGTGGATTAGACTATTACTAGGTGAGTACGGTTTACCGGCCACAATAGGGCCAAGAAGAGTGCTAACTAAAGTATATCCCGATGGAAGCTTTTTTATTGGGGTGGGTTCAAGATCATAATAGTAATCACTTCCTAATAATATTACTGGGTATATTATTTCGGCGGGAGGCAAAAATTCGGAAGTGCTATTTATTATCTCAAAAAATGGGGGAATATATTTTGTGGGTTGTGTTAAATGATTAATTGTACAAGCATTAATGTAAATGGATCGGCCGTCTATAAGTTTTAAGCCAAATTCAGTAGAGAAGGTGGTGGTCGTTTGACATGAGGGATTGCTGAATACTCCTAAATTAACTGTAGTGGGTTTCATATTTAGTCCTAATGAAATTGCTTCGGACTTTTGTATGTAGGAGTGGGTACTAGCATCATCTAACATTAAAAAGCCTGTACTACGTTTCGACGGGTAAGTCGGATTGAAGAACTCTACTCTAATACATTTAAGCAGTATCGGTGGGCTTGAATTTGGTTTTCGAGGGTAAACATACCGTGATGAAGTATTTATTTGGGCGGGGCCAATAGTTTTTGTTTCTGGGTTTGGCGATGGCTGTTGTTCATTTTTATATTTTGAATGATTCTGACTTGCGGGAAATTCATTAAAATTTTGTGAAGATGTGCTAGCAAATAGTGATGGTATTTGTGAAGGTTGGGGTTGTGAATAATTGGTTTGATAAGGAAATTGTAAATTAGTACGATTTGAATTATTGGTATTGTACCGTGAATTGTTAAAAGCGTTTGTGTTATTTTGGGGTGAATTAAATAGAGCTCTGCAAATAGCTCTTGGGTGATTGTTTTGACAAAAGGTACATTTAATAGGACGGGGACAGTTCATTGATTGGTGGTTATTTTTAAAACATTTAAAACACAGTCCCTTTTCTCGCAAACGGGATGTACGTGTTTGTAGGTTTGGATATTGTGTACATGCGTTTGAAAGGTGGGAGAATTGGTTACAAAATACGCATGGAAATCTTGATCTGGACGTTGGCAAATTATTACGAGTAGTAAAAAATGTTAAAGAGGAGTTAGGTGTGTGAGGCGGAGAACTTTCATTAGTCCAATTATTTCGTGGGGATCTGGGTGAAAAACGTGTTGCTTCTGGTATATTCAATTCTTTCTTTTGATCCTTTAATGATTTTATGCCTTCTTTGCGCTTCAATATTTGTTTTAGTGTTGTCCTAAGTTGATCAGTCTGCCATTCATCTCCATATTCATCCTTAGCCTTAAAAATTTCTTCCAAAATAAGGGGAGGGAGTTTTGATTCTAACTCCATTTGCACGGAAAGGGTATTTATGTCAAATTCTTGTTCAAGCATTTGTAAATATAATAGTTCTAATTGGTCTACGAAAGCTCGTAGTTCCATACAAAGGGTTTCGGGGCCATTATTTGAATGAACTATGGGCAATTTACGTATTGAATGCAGAAGGGTTCTGTTAATTTCATTGGCATTTCCATAATTTTCCCGTAAAAGTCGAATTGCCTCGTGGTAAGAAGCATCAGTTAATGGAAGGGATTTTATTAATAAAAGTGCCGGTCCATCCAGACATTCCTTGAGGTAATTAAATTTAACAGCGTCTGAAAGATTTGGAATATCATGGACCCCAGCGCGAAATGAGTTCCAAAAGGAGGTGAATTCGATACATTTCCCACTAAATTTGGGAAGTGATAGTTTGGGTAGATGAAATAAAGTATCAGTGGATTTGGAAGGGTCGGGAAGGTTTTCAGATAAAGTTGCCTTTTCTGTGCGTAGTTTGTTAATATATTTCTTTAAATTACGGATTGTAGTTGGGTAGGGCACATCTTGTACAAATTCATCATATATGGGATTATCTGCTATTCGTTCGGCTCCCGTCATTGACGTTCTGACACCCATCCAAAGATCATTTTGGCGATTGATATCGTTGTAAATTTCTGTTGCATTTTGTGATTCAGTATCTAATGAATTAATTAGGGTGCGAATTTGGGTATGATATTGAGAAATGCTTCCAGTTTGGACAGGGAGGGCAAATGATTTTTGATTATTTAGGATATCATCGGCTTCTTCAGCCAACAACCGAATTTGGTTACGAAAAGGGGCTGACATTTTCTCGGTTTTTCTTTAACCCGGCTGAGCTGTTGGGTTTTTTTCCTAATATTTAAAGAAATCCTAGTTCTAAGTTCAATTAATTCAAAATCCAATAAAGTTTATTTCGCAAGAGAAAAAATACAATTAATTTAAAAGCAGAAGAATATATTTTATAATTATTTTATTGAAGAGTGCTTAAAGGGAAGGGAAACAATATATTTATAGCCAGTGGTTTTGGAGGAAATGTATTTCAAAATATGTGCGTGGGAAATTTTAGTAGTGATTAATATATTTCATAATTTTAATAAGTTATTTAAAATAATTAGTTGGAGTTAATTCGCAGGATGCGACAGTGGTATAGAAGAAGAATTGTGAAGGTTGGATTGAACACGTGAATGAAACGTGACTTAATTTTGGAGACTGTTGGGAAGATATTATTTATTAATTATTTATAGAGATTGTTTGTACAAAAATAAGTTTAAGTAAAGTATTAGGTGTAAGACAACCGACAAATTTAGCAGGCTAAAGCTTTAAAAATTTTGGGATGCTAAAAAGCCAGTAAACATTTTAAGACCAAGAAAATAAATTTCTCTTTTCAAGAAATTTCTTTGGAAAACGTCAGCTTTCTGTTCGAAAGAAGTCCAGTTCAGGTTCTAAGTAACCCACACCATCCCTGATACAAATAACTAAAAACTGATCAAAATTCTTGAAATTGGGATAGAGGGGTTAGAGGGGATAGGAGAGAGACTTTATTAACTCAAAAAATTCTGATAGATACAAAAGAAATTAAGCAAGCATGGATAATCTGAATGATAAATCTTCTTAACTCATCTCGAATTTACTAGAAAACTTTATGTGTCAGATGTTTAATGATGTATTTTTAACCCTAAATAGTCTCATTACTAACTCTCTTATACTTTTACTTATATTTTCTTTAAAATTGCAATAAATTTTATCATTTCAACATTCTAAATAGAAATCAGTATTTGCAAAAAAATTAGAAAAAGGTAAATGTTCCAATCATCAAAGGACCCAAAAAAATTTTTTTATTTCTTTAAAATATTTTATTGCATAGAATTATGTAGGTAAGAAACGAAAAAAAATTTGTTAAATATTGCAAACCAAAAATATCTTTTTTTGAAAAAGAGACTATATAATTTTTAAAATTCAACATTATTTCACGTGAAATGTAAATGTTAAAAAAAATATTTTTTGACTACATAAATACATAATTGTTTATGCTTCTTAGCTTCTTTTTGCACATTTCGTATTAGGCACAAAATAAATATTTGTATGTTATTCACGTGAAATTTTTTGTTTTAAATTTTTTAAATTTGCCTGTTATGATCAGAGACCGAATTTTGTGATCAATTGAAATTGTTATTAGAGAAGCTTTCGTAAAAGTTCGATCTTTATAACCGAGATTATTGAGTGATATATGGTCTTTAATATCAGAGGTGGGTCGGAACAGTCAGAGGTGTCGGAAATTGGAAGAGCCGGAAATAGGAACTAGCTCAAAAGTCGGAACTCGGAAATCACAATTTTTTCGGAAATCGGAAGGAAAAAACGTCGGATATCGGAATTCCAATCCACATCTGTTCAATCTGATAAATAATTAAATAAATTTAATAGAAAATATGGGTCTTTAAACGCCATTTCTAAAAATATTTTCTTTTTTTTTGTTGATTCATCTTTTATTTTTATCGTCTCAATTAAAAAGATTTATTTAAAAAAAGACAAAAATATAATTTTTAAAAAGCAAATGTGTATCTTTTTTTTCTTTTTTTTTGTTTGGGCTCAAAGTCCATTTATTTTTAAAAATTATTTTTTTGCAATTCTCAAGGTTTTTTTGAAGGTTTTTCTTTTTTTTATTTTTGTATTGCCCAACGCAATTGTTTTTAATAATAAATGCTTTTTAAAGATTGTTTTTTTTTGTATTTTTGACAAGATTATTTTTGTTTCTATGAAATTGAAAAAAGAAAAGCTGTTGTAATCTGCTCTTAAAAAATTATTTCAATTTTTAGCACATTTTAAGGCTTAATAAAACCCTAGAAATAAAAGAGGAGATTGTTTAAAGAATTTAACTTAATGTTTGTAAACAGTCTGCTAATGTTATAGATGGAGCTGTATTTTAACAGAATATCTAAAGGATTCTCACAACCTTATAAGAAATTTTAAGAAGTAATTTAAAAAAAATTTTTAGAAAAATTTTTTTAAATAAAAGTTACAAGATCTGTTTAAAGAGTTGATTTTGGATTTATCTTTCTGTTTTTTATATATCTGATTGTGACTTGTTTCGCCATAATATTTTAGGATATAGTTTAGTCGAGGGCCCGCTCCAAACCGGGTCGAAACATATGTCATTCGATTCGTCTCGGCGAGCTGAGTCGAATGGTACCACTCCCTAACTGCGGAAATGCCTGTGGACCGAGATATAGGTCCCTGAAATTTGAAAAACCATAGGGGGAGTAAGCTGAATTTTGGGGTGAAAAATTCGATTTTTTGTATGATAGCTCATTCGAAAGAGCTCCTCGAGCTGAGTCGAATGACGCCAAAATCACTGTGATTGGACAAGTTTGGGCCGAGATATAGGGCTCGAAATGATCAACTTAAACCTATGGAGCGTCGGCAAGGCGCTTGTGCAAAACCCCGCGCTTCGCGCGGGGTTTTGCGGCACGCGCCTCGCGGGGAGTCTACGGGCGCTGGGTCTGGGCTCGTAACTTAATCCTATTCTTTTTACCGATTCTCAGCCTTGAATGCCGACCTACCCTCCGCAGCAGCACAAATAGTTATTCGCGCGAAAGTTAAGTTGTTCATAATTTTGTTCAGAATCATCGGATCGAGCTGATTTTGGTGTCATTCGACTCAGCTCGAGGAGCTCTTTCAAATGAGCTATCATACAAAAAATCGAATTTTTCACCCCAAAATTCAGCTTACTCCCCCCTATGGTTTTTCAAATTTCAGGGACCTATATCTCGGTCCACAGGCATTTCCGCACTTAGGGAGTGGTACCATTCGACTCAGCTCGCCGAGACGAATCGAATGACATATGTTTCGACCCGGTTTGGAGCGGGCCCTCGACTAAACTACAGCCATATTTTAGCTAAGAAAGTTGATAGGGAATTTTTAATATTTTTTGTCACTTTTCGAAGATTTTTCACACTAAATAATACTCTCTTATTCACCAAAAAATTTATTTATTTACTCAAAACTACCCGTAACTTTTAATGGTTACATTCCCCGTTTTTGCTTTAAACTAAATAAAAAATTGCCTCGCATTTTCTGCTTTTTCTCATCAATTTTCTACCCTCCTAACTGGTATCAAAGAAAACGGCAAACAAAAGCTCATCTTTAAAGAGCAAAAGATTTTTTTATTTACCAGTTTGTGTCTTGTCCACGTGAATTTTTGTGGGCAAATTACGCCTTTTTCTTCTAGAAAAAATATTTTTTTGCTTTTTTTTGTCTACATTACCTCCCTCCCCCCTCCCTCCCCCCTCCCTCCTTCCTCCCCCCCCCCTCCCTTCTCTTCTTTTTTGTATCTTTAAAAGTTATAGATGGGGGAGGGCGGAGTTTTTTTTGTTTGATTATTTCTGATCTTTAATGTAAATTTATAATATTTAATGTTGGTGGTTACGCCCATATAAACGTCTCGATTGTGAGAAATCAAACCTCTATAAATTGAGTTGATAAAATATCAAATGCCATTATTTTTTATATTAATTTGATTTTCGAGTAGAAGGGTCCTTAAAACAGGCGAGAACCTCACTAAGCACCTCTAACTTTATTTTCCAAAAAAAATTTTTTTTTCGATTTTCGACAATCGAATTCTGAAAATTTGGTTCCAATTGACGAAAATTTAATTTTTTATTCAAAAATTTTATTTGATATTTTTGTTAGTTTCCTACCTTAAAAGTATTTTTTTCAAATTTAACTTTAAGTTGTCTACCAACTCATTCATCTTTTTCACCACTTCATACAATACAAACATCCTCTTCTAAAACTTCCCCCTTATTTTTATTTAAAATGCCAGCTTATAACGACGAAATTTTCAATACAAACATCGAACAAAATGTTTTGCCTAAATTGGCCGTTTTTGAGGCAGACACCCCTCCTGTCGTCCCTCAAATCAAAAAATCTCGAAAAATGGATTCTCAAAAATTTCGTTCTGAACTTATCAAAAATATTGATACTTTTATTTTTGACGCTGATGGAGTTTTGTGGTTGGGAGAAAATGCAATTCCTGGGTCTTCGTCTTTCATTGAACATGTTGCAGAATTGGGGAAGAGAATTATTGTGTTGACTAATAATGCAACTAAGTCTCGGGCCGTTTATGCAAAGAAGCTTGCTGGTTTGGGTTATGGACGTTATATTAATGAGGTGGGGGAATTGAAAGAATATACTAATTATAGAAAGATCAGAATTTCATTATTTCCAATTAAAGGCGGGTCGGAATTACGATTTCCTACGTTTTTTTCTTTCCAATTTCCGAAAAAAATTTTGATCTTTTTTCTCAGCCAGTTCCGGTTTCCGGCTCTTCCGATTTCCGAATTCTCTGACTGTTCCGACCCACCTCTGTTTACAATCAGAATTTCTATCAGAATTTAGAAGTAATACTTAACCAGAATTTAGCGAGCATCTTATGCCAGAATTTCATAATTTAAACAATTATTAAAAAATTAAATAATATTAAGTAAAATACTTGAAGTAAAAAATATTTTTAGCACAACATTGTAAACCCCGCTGCTGTTGTTGCCGATCTCATCCATCGTTCTGATCTTGCACGTCACGACAAGAAGGTTTACTTGATTGGAAGTCAGGGAGTAAAGGACGAATTAAAACTTCTAAATATTGAATATTTTGGGGATGGGTAAGGGAAATTTGGAAGAAGATTTAATTATTTTTATCTGTTTTTAAAGAATTGACCCAGTAGATGCGCAACCAGCATCAAAGGGCCAGGCTTTTCTTTATGAATTGGAACTTGAAGAACACCCGGAAAATGTTGGAGCTGTTGTTGTTGGCTATGAGAAATATTTTAATTATCTCAAATTAATGAAGGCTGCAAATTATTTGCAAGTGAGTTTCTGGGAGAAGTTAAAGAAAGTTATTCGAACTTGGGAGGATTTTTAAATTTTAATGAACCCCCGTCTATTAATTTATCTACATATTTTGTTTTTTAGAATGAAGACTGTCTCTTTTTGGCAACCAATGAAGACGAAACTTGTCCAGGTCCAAATCCCGAAACCATCATTCCAGACGCCGGGCCATTAGTTGCTGCTGTCAAAACTGCTTGTGGACGTGAACCTTTAACCGTTGGGAAGCCGAATACTCCAGCTTTTGACTATATTTGTCGACGTTGGGGAGTTGATTCAATCGACCCGCAACGTACTTTAATGGTTGGAGACCGTGTAAATACTGACGTTAAATTTGGACGTGATCATGGATTGCGAACTCTTTTGGTTTTGAGTGGATGTCATGGGGTAAGTGGGTCTTTTTGAACTCGAAAAATTTAATTTTTTAAAGTTGGACGATATTGAGGACGGCATTCTTCAGAGCCGTGAAGATTTGGTACCTGAGTTTTATGCGGATAGTCTTGGAGCACTCATTCCAACAAAAGAGAAGGTCAATAAGAAGAAGACTAAAGCTGAAGAAGGCGAACAAAGGCGAAAGGCCGTCTGTGTTTAAAATACAAATTTTTTCTTTAAAATTTAACAATGAATATTTTGTATAAATTTATTATACACACTTTTTTAAATAAGGATAAATAATTTTTTAAAAAAGGATAATAATAATTATGGGACTTTGTTCTCAAAACTTTTGTTCTTGAAAATATAATAATTCCCAATGTTTTAAATTTTGTTTGTTCTGTTGTTTGTAATTTACCAGAGCAAGAGACTTAGAAAATGATTCTGTACCGATTTAAAGTTCCGAAAATATGAAAAACCAAGGGTGGAGTAAGCTAAATTGTACTACTTGACTTTATGGTTAAAGTTTTTTACCATAAAATTCTTCGCTTTTCAGAGCTACAGGCGAAAACTTTTTGAAGTTCTGAAGCCTAAGGAGCCAAAATATTCCGTTTTCCAATAATCAATGCAAAATATACAAAATTTATGATAAATTTTAGGTTATTATAATAATTATTATGTTTTTTTAAATTTGCATTGTAATCAGCAAAGCCATTTAAACAGTTTTTCTACGAAACCAACCAAATTTTTTAAAATACCATTTTGTTAACGAGACGAAACGGCAATGATTTTTTTCAAAATCTTTTTTTATTTTAAATTTACTTTATAATTACATAAATTGTACATATGTATATCTAAAATTATTACCTTTGTCACTTAATTTTGTTCTTTTTTGGAAAGTAAAAATTTAATCTTTTTTATGTATAATTATTACTGGCTTTTAGATATAATAAAAAAATTTCTATAAACATTATAAATATAAAAATAGCACCTGTTTTTTATTTGGTAAATTGCATTTTTTAATATTACTTTTAAGGCCAACAATTATTCGAGAATAAACTAAAAATACATACAATAACCAAAACTTAAAAAGAGTGCTGAATATTAAGAATTATTTATAATTCTGTTTAATTATTATTCATTTCTTAGTTAATTTTTTATTTAAATATTAATTAATGCTTATTAAATATTTAAATTAAAAACTAAAATAAAAAATTTCTGACACTAAAATTATCAATTTCTAATTATAAAATATTAATTTGAAAAAAAATTAAAATAATTTTATTAACAAATTGTAACATTTATCTTTAATAAATTTTAATTTAAAATTTAAATTCCAAATGGTAAATTACTATTTTACAATCTAAATTAAATACACTCATTGGCATGACATTTTTAATTAATGGAAAACTTTCCAATACTTCGACAATTCTTGGAGACGAGGTAAAATATAGAAGGATTTTCCAGGATCTATTAACCTTATTCCTAATCTTAGCGTCTTAAGTAAAAGGGCGAACCGGCTTTAGTAATACTCACCAAAAATTTGAAAATTATATTACAATTTTTATTTTTTTCGATTTTTGATTTCGAAAATCCTTTTGGTTCTTTAATTTCCGATTTTCGAGGATTCTTTGTTTCGAAGCAGTATCGGGATTAAAGACCAAACCTAATTTGCGTTATACATACATACGTATTAGAATAAAATTTAAAAATTCAATTTTGTCTAAAATTTTTCAGTTTTTCAACATGTACCGTGATCGTGGTCTTACCCCTGGACTTGCAATTATGGCATTCCTTATTGCTTGTTGTGCTATATCGGGAAATATAATGAACGCTTTTCTTGTGTATATTACAGCTAGAAATAAGTAATTTAGATTCTAAATTTTAATTTATAATTCTCAGAAATCAGAATCGGATTTCAATTTTCAGATCTCTTCGGGGCAGCACCAATTATTTATTGGCCCAACATTCACTCTGCGAATTTTTCCACCAAACAGGGCATTATATTTTCCTCTACACAATTTTTTCTGGGAAAAATTTTATTTCCTATGCAACAAGTACAGCATTCCAAATCCAGTCAATTTTGGGTTACAATTCTGCAGTTTTTACAATGTTCGAAACAGCTACTGACCGTTTATTATGTGTATTAACTCCTACACTGTTAGTATTTTTAAATCAGAATTAATTAAATTTCAAATTCTGATTTTAAATTTAAAATGTTTCTCTTCAGAATTATTTAAAACTCGGAATTTTTAAAGGAAATTCTGATTTATTTAAGAATTCAGAATTATTTTGTAATCAGAATTTTTAATTAAAATCAGAAATTGTACTTGGGTTATTTTATACTTGAAATTTATTATTCTGAAATTTAAATTCTGTTTTATTTTCTTAAACAATATAAACAATTAAACAATTTTCTTTAAAAAATTTTTATTTCGATAATTCTGATTTTATTCAATTTAATTTTAGCTATTCACAAATTGTTGGGCCTGCTTATTTAGGAACGTTCAGCATTCTATCCTTCATTCCCGGAGTAGTTTTAGCTTTTTTAGTTTTGTCATATGCAATAGAAAATCCGGCAGAGTAAGGGATATTATTTTAAATTATTTGAAATAAATATATTTTAGACCGGTAACTGGCCAACTTAGCGATACTTGTACTCCCGTCCAATTAATTTATAATTACAATTTGGTAATGTGTGTTCTTTGTATTATTTCCTATGTTATTATTGGGGCAATTGTTGTGAAAAAAGGTAAATAAAATAAAATTAATTTTGATAGTAAAAAAAAGCAAATTTATTCTCGGGAAAGATATTTTTTGAGGCAAAATAATATTGAAATTGATCAGTGCCGAACTTTAGATTTTCGGATTTTTCCTACAATTTACGATTCTTCAATTAATTGGAATTTTTTCAAATTTTAATTTTTTTTATTTTCAATGCAGCTCATATTAGGGTTAGGAGCCCAATCGGTGCGATAGATCGAACTGGGCCTCGAATTTTGGCCCGAAAAAGACTCGAACTGGAAAAATGACTAAAAAATGACTCAAACAACTCTAATAAATATGCTTAACTAAACTTTTTTCAAAAATTATTACTCTTATTTTATTAAATAATTTAAGTAAAAGAAAATCAAAACAAAAGGAACGCAAATTATTTAAATCAACGGAACGCCAAACTTTTGCGTTCACTTTCGGCGATAATTATAATTATGGTTGGAAGTTATTTCCTCAACACTCTTATACGAAAATTTGTCAGTGATATACTGCATCTGGGACCTATTGGTTTGTGGTATGTTAATGTTGCTGGAGGTGTTTTGGTAAATATTGGAGCAGCTTCGAATACTCCAATTCTTTACGCATCAAGGCAAGGAAATTATAAAGCTTTGCTAACTAAAATTTGAGCTTATTTAATTTCGCAAAACGGTAATCGGGACGTTGTTAATCGGACTTTTTGGTATCGAAAGATATCGATACATGAAATTTTTGACTCGATCCAATCTCAAATTATTACCATACCTTGCCTAATAATAAAATAAAATTTTAATGGCTACATATTACCATTCTAAATCCAATTTATTAAATTATGCCAAAAACACATTCAAATAAATTTGTACCCGAAAATTTTGATCCAACATATTTATAATTTAAATACTAATTTTTAAAAAACTAAAAAATTCAACATTTAAATTAATTTTTATTAATAATATGTATATTCCAAATTAATTGATCTCAAATTTAAAGCTCCGAATATCGCCGAGTTATTGACAACGAATTACATTCAATCTTAGGCTCGTATTGGAAAATCTCTGCCCCCAAACCTCCCAAAAATCTTTTTGCTACAACAGCATCACCGAATGAAAATCAAAAAATTTTCAATAGAATAAATGCAAAAATCAACGCTGTGAGTTCGTCGACTGATCCAAAGACAGCGCGAGTACATCCTACTCCTATTAATTTTTTGCCTATCATTTAGTTAAATTGAAATTCTAATAATTGAATAATAAAATATTTTTTGTTAAAATTAAAAGAAAAATTTTTAAGTTCCAAAGAGAACGTATTGGAAATAATTTATGGGGGTAATTCTGCTGTGATTTTTTTAGGATTTTTTATAGTAGGAACGAAATCATTCTGCAAAGAAAAAGAAAATCTGTTGTAGGATCCAAACCAAATCTGTCAACAACATTGCAGAGATCTAAACTATTTATTTAAAATACGAAATTTTTTTCAAAATTCTTTTATTTTATCCTTATAGTAGCCCAAAATTCGTACCTATTTTGACCCTTTTAGGATATTTCCCCCTATTTTGCCAATTAAAAACCCTAAAATATGAACCTATTTCTCACTTTTCCGGACCTAAAATGTCGGACTCTAGTCATAATAAAAGCAGAAATGTAAACTATACTTTTTATCATTAAAAATTATCAAAACTTTAATAATTACAAGGCTTTATAATTAATATTTTTAATATCTCTTTTAATTTAATTACGTATTATTCATAAAAACCAACAAAACACAAGACTAACAATTCTAGAAAAACTTTAATAAAAAATGAATAATATTTTTTATGAGTAATACTTATAAATTTATTAAATCCCAAATAATTAGAAAAGAAATAAAATAAAAAATTTTCAGTTTAGCGAGTTTAGTTTCTCTCAAAATTTATAAACAATAAACAATTTTGTGTAAAAACGCCGCCAAAAAGTTTTCCGTTGTTTACCAAAAATTCAGAAAAAACGGGAAATTTGTTTTAACTTTTTCACTTTTTGAAAAAAAATTTTGTCTTGCTCAACACAAAAGGTGACAGTTAATCCATCAAATTTTGAGAAAAATTTTTTTAGTGAAGGGGGGGGGGGGGGGGGAGGGGGTGAAAGTGTGGAAAGTTTAAAAACAATTTTCTCTTTTTTGACTCAAAGAACCCAAAAAAATTTTTTTAAGTGTTAATTTTTTAAAAACCTGTTCATTACTGGATGGGAATAACAATAATAATAAAATTTTAAAAATAAGATAAAACGAGATAATTTAAAATACGTATAAAAAATAAGCGTGAGTATGCACAAAGGTAATTTAAAATTTTAAAAATTTGATGTAATAAATTATTATAATGGCCATGTGCGCAAGTTTAAATAAAAAATATTAGACAATCATCAAGATGATGAAATAAAAAGATAATATTACAAACTAACTCGTAAACAACTTACAATAGATTAATGAAACCAAAAAGATAAATTAAATATTTTTTGTCAAATTTAAAGTTATACAGACTTTAGTAAATTTTGACGAGCTACAGTACTAAAATGGGTTATATTATGTAATAATTTATATGAATGGATTTTGAGTTAACAACTTCATCTGATCCAGAACCATAATATAAAATAAAATGATTTTTGGAGGGTGAATTGAAGTTAGCAGATAAAATTGAATTTGGTCTGGAATTAAATTTAGGCGCCAGACATATGCATATTGACTCTTCCACAATTTGTATAACAGCTACAACCATCAGTCATTTTCTTCCAGTTTTCGCGCAACCTTTTAACACCCTTCAAGAAGAACGACGCCGATTTTGTTTTTTACAAACTAATTTTGTAATTTTTTGTAGTAATTTTTGCATTTTTTAAAAATAATTTGCACGCTCTAATTTTAGCTGGAAGAAAGGAGAACAGTTAAAAATAAAGGGAGAGAGGAAAGAGAAAAAAATAAACAGTCGGAGTCAAGAAACGCGCAGTCAAAATAATAAAAGAAAGAGAAAAAAGTGTTTTTGTTTAATATACATTTTTTCAATTTTGTTTTATTAAATGATTGATATTACTTAACAAAAATAATCAAGGGAGTAAGAAAACGCGTGGCTACTTTAAACTAATTTTTTATCAAACAACCGTTCTCATAAACAATTTGGCAAAAAAGGAGGCGTCGTCTCCAATAAACACAAATTTCAAGATGTATAAAAGTGTTCAAGTCAAAATAAGTAAATCATTCTCAGTTTTAATTTAATTTTTAATACCACATTAAAATATAAACAAAATGAAAACCTCAGTGTTGTGTTTATTTTTGATTATTTCTATTATTTCAATTTATGCCGATGATAAAGAAGTTGAGAATCATAAAGTTGAGGCCGAGACAAAAGAAAAACGTAATGGTGGTAATCATGATGTTCCGGATGAAACAAGAGAAAAACGTGATGATAAAGAGAAACGTGATGATAAAGAAAAACGTACCGAAAAGACTATAACAGGAAAGAAGCATGTCGAAGCAGATGAGTCAAAAACCGAAACTTCTGGTGCTGATGAACGTGAAAAGCGTATTACAGGAAAGAAACCAACAGAAAAGAAACCTGTTGAGGAAGTTTCTGACGAAACAAGGTGAGAAAATATTTTTAAAAATTCGATAATTATGAAACCCGATATTACAATATCGATAATTATGGAGATACATATTACAAATATCAAAAAAATTCTATAAATGTTCTCTAGACATGATCTAGATTTTAGAAGATATTCTGTGATTATGCACCTGTGATCATGCTGGTGCATAACTTCTGAATATCCTGCAAAATAACGTGGGGGAATCTAATTTTGTTGTATATCCACTTCTATAAAATTGTTTTGAAAAAGATCACCAAAATTTTTAAATATAAATAAATAAAATTTTAATAGAGAAAAACGCACTACTAAAGAGAAGAAGCCTACAAAACCCGCTGATGCTGAAGAGTCCGCAGCTGAAGAGAGCCGTGAAAAGCGTACTATCCCAAAAAAGGAAAAGCCAAAAGCCGCTGAGGACGAATCTAAAGTTGAAGACGAGACTCGTGAGAAGCGCTTAACTGGAACCCCAAAGAAGACAAAACCTGCTGAAGTTGAGGAAGAGACTCCTAAAGCTGAGGAAGAGACTCGTGAGAAGCGTTTGGCAACAACAAAGAAAGAAAAAATCAAGCCAGCTGATGACGAATCTAAAGTCGAAGATGAGACTAAAGAAAAGAGAACTACAAAGAAGGAAAAGACAAAAACAGCTGATGTAAGTATACAGGGGAAGAATGTTTTAAAATGGTTTTAAAATCAAGATAGGACTAGTTTTTTATAAATATGAGTGGTTGACTTGCTAATTTTTATACCTTTAGTTCACTTTTTGGTCATCTAAACAATAAATTTATCTATCCCAAACCATAATAATTATTAGGGTCATACAAGGTTATCCCAGTATGTTGAAGTAAGGTTTTTTGTGTTGTTTTAATCTTGAAAACTTTTCGGGTCATCATAGTAAACTAGAGTAGGATAAAAGTTAGTGTGGTTTTAAAATTCCTTCAAGCAATTTTTAAAATTCAAAACTTCAAAATATTTTTTAGATTGCAGCAGAAGCAGACGAACCCAGAGAGGAGCGTATGACAAAGAAAACTAGCACAGCAGAGAAAAAGCCAATTCATACCCGCGCAGCTCGTGCAACAAAGACTGGAAGCAAAACAATAGAATCAAAAGGAAAGGGCCATTAAATGGTGATAAATTTGGCTATTATATTTAGTATGTAGATTTAATTGAATGAGAAAGAGATGATTTAATCTTAAATATTTTTTAATTCTTTCATTTTTTGACGATGAAAATAAAAGAAGGCTATTTTTAATTGTTTTTAATTGCGAGTAGAGTTGCTAGCAGTGATGTCAAAGTTCCAGTTCTATTAGTTCTAGTTCCTAATTAGTTCTAGTTCCAGTTCCAGAACTAGAACTACGGAACTAACGATTATCTGGAACTAGTTTGGAACTAGAACTACGGAACTAATAAATGTCTGGAACTAGCTTTGGAACTAGTTCTGAAACTAGTTCCTGTTAGTATATTTTTGACAAAATTTCCTAAACAAAGTTTACGGGATTTTTAATATTGTTGTAAATTACCTGCAGCGCGCTGAAAATGGAAGAAATCCGGCTGCTTAAGCTCCAAAATTCTAAAAATTTTCGCCTGCGGCGCAAAAAATGGAAGAAATCTGGTGAAATGGCCTTCCAAAATTCTCAAAATTTTCGCCTGCGGCGCTGAATTACTCAAAATCCTTTTATAACCGAGATATCACCACAAATACCTTAAATCCCTTTGCTAAAATAAGCCCCCTCTAAATTAAGCCCTATCTAAAAGCCTATCGAAACAAATAAGCTCTCCCTCTATTATACATAAGCCCCCTCCTTCATAAAATTTTTAATTGTTGAGTAATTGTTGTGTCCCCTCAATTGAATCTCCATGGAGTGATATAGAAGGATTAGAAGTGATTAAGAGGGTATTTGGAAGATTAACAAATATATAAAGGAATCAACGTACATAGATATCGAGGGATTTTAATTGATTAGGAGTGATATCAGAGGATTTGGCGATTTAATTAGATATATATTGATAGTGAAGATTAAGGGAGATTAAGAAGGATATCAGGAGTATTAAAAGGGATTTCTTTAGAGGGATTTCTCCTATTAAGAAGTATTTCTCCTTTATTTGTTAAAATTGATAAATCTTTCATATTCAGAAAATTTAAAAAATTTGAAACTAGAACTAGCTTGGAACTAGTTCCAGAACTGGAACTAAGGAATTTAAAAAATGGAGTTCCGGAACTGGAACTGGAACTACAAAAATTAAAAACCTGGTTCTGGAACTGGAACTACTAAAATTAAAAACCTAGTTCTGGAACTGGAACTAGTTCCAGAGAAATTTTGGAACTTTGACATCACTGGTTGCTAGTAATGTTCACCGGAACCTAAATTTTGTCGTAACTGAAACCGGATCTAACTGGTATCGGCCAACCCGAGACCGAGATTGACCGATACTCAAGAACCCGATACCGAGACCGATACCATCATTTTGAGCCGAGACCGATACCGAGAAACGATACTGACCGAGACTAAAAAATTTTTTTATTTTATGTCAAAAAATACGTGTAAAAATAATTTATTCATTATTTTCATCATCTGGATCCGATCTTGCGTGGCAATGTATACTAATTTTTGTGTCCGTATCCGAATAGGTGTATCCGTGAGGTCGACATCCGTATCCGATTATATCCTTAAAACTTCTGAGGCCTATCTATCCGCGGGTATCCGTGGATGGCCGAAGTGAAAATTTCGGTTAACCAAACTATTATTTAAGCGCCGCAGGCAAAAATTTTTAGAATTTTAGAAGTGCAAGTATACAGATTTCTTCCAATTTTCAGCGCCGCAGACAAAAATTTGAGAATTTTGGAAGGCCATGAAGCCAGATTTCTTCCAATTTTTGCCCTCCGATACGCAAACTCAATGTGCTCATCCCTGCTTCCGATCATTGTAAATCCCCTTAATCCACTGGTGGGAACAATAGTTGCCGAAAATCGGAAGGCTCTGTAATCAAAATCTTGAAAATCTAACGGCCGAGGGCTCTAACCGAGACTTAACTCTAACCGAGACTTAAAAAAACTCTAACCAAGACTTAAAAAGCTCTAACCGAGACTTAAAAAGCAAACAACTCTAACCGAGACTTCTAACCGAGACTTAAAAAGCAAGGTTCGAGGTCGAGGGTCAAATTTCAGTCGAGGTCCGAGGTTCGAGGATAACCGAGGGTTATAAAAAATTTTAATCGTTTGAAAATTTATTTAAATTTACTATGTAAATTTAGTCAAATATTCGCTAAATAATTACAAATTAATAATTTCAATCATATTCAAATCAAGCAGGGGACCCAATACAATAAATCAAACACTCATATCCTTGGCCAAATAATTTCTAAAATTTGATCAAATTTTTGCAAATATTTTGGAATAGAACTTTGATGTGTAGGGTGGTCCAAAACATGCAAATGCATGTTTTGTATGCGGATATGCCTTGATGAGAGAAGCTCAAAAATGGTGTTTTTACATCGGTTCGAGCACTTTAGGACCCAGTTCTTAATGCATATTTTTGCATATTTCGGCCCTCTCGTGCATATTTGTGCATATTTTGGCAAATTTTACATATTTTGTCCATATTTCATTGTTTTTTTTTGTAAAATTTTGCCAAAAATTGGTCAAAATTTTCAAAAATTTGGAATTTTTAGGCAAAAAATTTTTTATATGAAAATTTTTTGAAAAAATTTTTTCGGAATCTTTTTTGGGTAAAATTTTTTTCAAAATATTTTTCTCAGAAATTTTAAATTCATAAAATCTTTTAGAAATTCACTTAAAATGCAAAATTAAAGGCTAAATTAGTGTTTTTTACTTAAAATATTGATTTTTAAAGCAAAAGTCCACTATTTTTTACTGCATATTTAATGCATATTTTAGGAAATTTTCATATTTCAGTGCATATTTAGGGGTTTTTCGGTGCATATATATGCGCATATTTGGCGATTTTCCATGCATATTTTGGACCACCCTATTGATGAGGTTGAAGAATTAAATTATTTGATCAAATATCAAATACTTTGAGAATATTTGATCATCTGGGACAGCGGATTAAGACTTATAACGAAGAATCAATGGGGATAGCAAAAAGGAACCAAGGAGGATATAAGGGGCTTCAGCGCATTAATTGGTTTAAGGGGATTTGGGGATCAAGGAGTATATCAGATATATAAAAGGATATCGTGGGATTTGTAATGATAAAGGGTATATAGCGGATGTAGTTGGATTAGTGGGAATTTAATGGATATCGGCAAAGGAAGATATGTATTAGGGGATTTGTATGGTTAATTTTAATTCATTAACTATTTTTTGTGCTATAAAGCGATTTGGTGGATAATAAAAGTACAGGAGATATCGTTTAATTTGAATATAAGGAACAACAATGAGCATGCGAAAGGATTTTGGGAAGGAATCCAAAATCCTTTTGCATTCTGGATCTCTGCGCCGCAGGCGAAAATTTTTAGATTTTTGGAAGAACAATAACCAAATCATCATCGAAAAAATAATCCAAAATTGTTAATGTTTAAATTTTATGAAAAATACTTGAATTTTTCTAATTTATTTTTCAAATGATTTTTTATATTATATTCTAACAAATTGTTAGACGAAATCAAAATCAGTTAGAAAATAACGGAGATATTAGATTTCAAAGTCGGTTGAATCAACTTGAATTGGATTTATTAAAATTTGAATGAAAAGAGTATGGAAAACCAAGAGAAAATTAGAGAAAAAGAGATGAATTTAGCTCTTTTTTAATTGGTTGGCGTTCTGCCCTGTTAAATGACATTTCGTTCGCTATGCTGCTGTGCAGATTCAGAAGTCATTTGAAAGAACACGGTGATCTAAATCGAAGACGATAAAATCAGGCTCTGTTCTCAACCTTGGGCCGAAATAAAGACCTCCGAAAATCGAAAAACATAGGGAAGACCAAGCTGAATTTTGTCGTGAAAATTTCAAATATAGTTAATTTGAAAGATCGTAAAACTGAGTGGAAAGTGTGGAAAGTTTAAAAATAATTTTCTCTTTCTTTGACTCAAAGAACCACAAAAAAATTTTTTTAAGTGATAATTTTTTTAAAAACAAGATAAAACGAGATAATTTAAAATACGTATAAAAAAGAAACGATAGTATGAAAAAAATTTTTAATTTTGAAAATATGATGCAATAAATTAAATAATGGCCAAGTGCGAATAAAAACAGTAAGACAATCATCAAAATATTTTAAAATGATGAAATAAAAAGATAATATTACAAAACAAAACACCTAAATAAAACACTTAAGGTAAAAAAGATAACTTAACTATTTTTTTGCGTAACCTTTAAACACCCTTCAAGTAGAACGACGGCGATTTTGTTTTTTACAAACTAATTTTGTACTTTTTCGTTCTAATTTTTGCATTTTTTTAAAAATGATTTGCACGCTCTATTTATTAGCTAGAAGAAAAAAGAGAACAGGGGAGAGAGGAAAGAGAAAAAAATAAAAAGTCTGAGTCAAGAAATTTTGTTTTTTATATATGAAGAAAAGAGAAAAAAAGTGTTATTATTATACTTTTTCAATTTTGTTTTATTAAATGATTGATATTACTTAACAAAAATAATCAAGGAAGTAAGAAAACGCGTGGCTACTTTAAACAGATTTTTTTATCATACAACCGTTCTCATAAACAATTTGGCAAAAAAGGAGGCGTCGTCTCCAATAGACACAAATTTCAAGATGTATAAAAGTGTTCAAATCAAAATAAGTAAATCATTCTCAGTTTTAATTTAATTTTTAATACCACATTAAAATATAAACAAAATGAAAACCTCAGTGTTGTGTTTATTTTTGATTATTTCTATTATTTCAATTTATGCCGATGATAAAGAAGTTGAGAATCATAAAGTTGAGGCCGAGACAAAAGAAAAACGTAATGGTGGTAATCATGATGTTCCGGATGAAACAAAAGTAAAACGTGATGGTGATGATAAAGCAATTAATCATAACGTTGAGGCCGAGACAAAAGAAAAACGTAATGGTGGTAATCATGATGTTCCGGATGAAACAAAAGTAAAACGTGATGGTGATGATAAAGCAATTACTCATAACGTTGAGGCCGAGACAAAAGAAAAACGTGATGATAAGGTCTTATAACACAGATTTATTCCCTTTTCAGCGCCGCAGGCGAAAATTTTGAGATTTTTGGAAGGTCAAGGAGAAAGACTTCATCCTTATTTTACAAAAAATTCCATCATTAGGGGTGTATATTTACCCTCGGTCCTCGGCGAGGTTCTTGGTGAGGACCGAGACGAGGTTCCGAGGCCAGAGATCAGCAAAATCGAGGTCGAGGTTTGAAAGTTTGAAAATGGGCGAGGACCTCGGTCTCGGCGAGGCCTCGACCTCGACTAACTCTAAACTAGAGTAGGATAAAAGTTAAGTGAAAATTGCTCTTTCAAGCAATTTTTAAAATTCAAAGCTTTAAAATATTTTTTAGATTGCAGCAGAATCAGACGAACCCAGAGAGGAGCGCAAGACAAAGAAAACTAAAGAAAAAAACAATGGAAAAGCAAAAAAAGACAACAAAAAATCAAAAGACAAAAACAATGAAAAGACAAAAAAACCAACAAAAAAAGACAAAAAAACAATGAATATCCGCGATGCTCGTGCAACAATGACTGGAACCTAAACAATAGAATCAAAAGGAAAGGGCCATTAAATGTGGGATAAATTTGGCTATTATATTTAGTATATAGATTTAATTGAATGAGAAAGAGATGATTTAATCTTAAATATTTTTTAATTCTTTCATTTTTTGACGATTAAAATAAAAGAAGGATATTTTTAATTGTTTTTAATTGCGAGTAAAGCTGCTAGTAGTGTTCACCGGAACCTAAATTTTGTCGTAACTGAAACCGGATCCAAGTTGAGTTCCGGATCCCGGAACTTTTTCTCGGTTTCGGCCTGGAACTGGAACTTTAAAAAAATTTTGCTAGCGAATTTACAAAAAATTGGATTTAAAGTAGGGTTGTCGGTTGAATCAAATTCTTCAGTTAACCGAACTGAAAAACCGAACGAAACTAAACAAATCCCCTGATATGCCCGATACCCCACTAATTTCATATATCCCCTTTGATCTCGGAATCTTTTCGAAGTATCCTTAATCCCACTAGATCCCTCAACAGTTGACTATAATCGACTAAAAGAGTAATGTTAGCGTTAAAAATTGACATTAAGCGAAAAGATATGCAAATAAGCGAAATATACCTACGTCAATTCTCTTTTAGAGGTCGATCGAAAAAATAGCCCGGGGGATATTTTAGAGAAAATACGGTATTAGTTAAACTTGTAAATATATATCACAATTATTGTTTCAGATATTAGTCGAAAGACTGGATTTTATATAACTTTTGATTATTTTTTACCAATTGTATTTTTGAAGTTAACGCAAAATTTATCTCTCAAAAATTTTGAAATTTTATCCGAGCAATTTCTAAATGTTTCGTTTAAAATAAATCAAAGAATAAAATCATATAATGATCTGTATATCTAAACTCGGAATTCTCTTTGAAAATACTTCTTGTAAAGCAACTCTTTACTCTTCGCCATTCTATTTCTTGCCATTAATCTTCAAGCCCGACATGTCCATGTTAAAAGCAGTCTTTGGTGGGTCTGGCTAAAATTTTTTTATTTTAGTATGTACATATTTCTATTTTTTAATCAAAAATTTTTTTCAAGAATTTTAACTAAAAACTAATATTGGATTAAAATTGATAAAATGTTTGTGATTAAATAATTTTGTCTAAAAAAAGTTTTCCTGATACTTACCATGTTTTTATATACTGAATTTTCATTGTCTATCGGTTTCTAAATAAATTTTTAAAGTTACTGCAAAAATACATATAAATACAGTGACGGAAATTTAGTTAAGAAAAAATATTTTTGAAAATTATTTTTTCAAGCAGTAATTTGGAATCCTTAATTTTATATAATTTTGTAGCACTATTTATAGGCCATCAAATGACCACAAATAAAAGTTAGCGATTGAGCAAGCAAAATCTTTTTTCCAGAGAGGGTCAAAAATTGCGCGCTCTCTTTAGAATAAAGAATTTTGCTTGCTTAATCATTAACTTTTATTTAATAAATGAGAGGTCATTCGATAGCATATAAATAGAGCTCAGGGTGGCCTTTTCCAAACCACTAAAATAGGGCGCAGGTACTCAAAAATAGGGAAAAAATAGGGCGAAATCGGTCAAAAGTAGGGCAAAAAATAGGGAATTATTTAAAAAAATAAAAATAATTAAAATTTTGAATAGAAATCTTTATTCCGCATGTTTTCGAATAGTTTTAACAAAATTGAGCAGATCAAGATGAAGCTGTATCTAAATAAATATATTTCAAAAATTGTAATCAAAAAAAGATTAGAGACTGGACTGCAGTGTCGTCTCGAATCTGGAAAAATCTCGAAAAACTGAAATTTTTATCGCAAGACAATCGTACGTGATGTCTCGAAAAAACTCGATCTCGATAATCGAGATTTTCGTTCGAGATCACGTCTCGATCCGTTCTCTAGTTCATATTAGAGACCGGCAAAATCGAACTTCCGGAATCCCGGGTCGGGATTTTTTTCTTAACCGATGAACAAAAAACTACCAGAGCCCAACCTACCTCGGCGGTAGGTTGGACTCTGGTAGTTGGCCTGTCAAGATGACCACGTCAAGTTGACGTCAATATGCTGTTGTAGACCACGACAACGTCAAGATGACTGTCGTCGACTACGACCACGTCGTCGACCACGACCACGTTAAGATGAATGTCGTCGACCACGACCACGTCAAAATGAATGTCGTTGACCACGACCACGTCAAGATGACTGTCGTAGGCCACGGCCACGTCAAGATGACTGTCGTCGACCACGACCACGTCAAGATGACTGTCGTCGACCACGACCACGTCAAGATGACTGTCGTCGACCACGGCCACGTCAAGATGACTGTCGTCGACCACGACCACGTCAAGATGACTGTCGTAGGCCACGACCACGTCAAGATGACTGTCGTCGACCAGACCACGTCAAGATGACTGTCGTCGACTACGACCACGTCAAGATGACTGTCGTCGACCACGACCACGTCAAAATGAATGTCGTCGACCACGACCACGTCAAGATGACTGTCGTAGGCCACGACCACGTCAAGATGACTGTCGTCGACCACGACCACGTCAAGATGACTGTCGTCGACCACGACCACGTCAAGATGACTGTCGTCGACCACGACCACGTCAAAATGAATGTCGTCGACCACGACCACGTCAAGATGACTGTCGTCGACCACGACCACGTCAAGATGACTGTCGTCGACCACGACCACGTCAAAATGAATGTCGTCGACCACGACCACGTCAAGATGACTGTCGTAGGCCACGACCACGACAGGATGACTGTCATCGACCACGGTCGTCGACCACGAACACGTCAAGATGACTTTCGCCATTTTGAACTTTTAAAAATTGATAAAAATAGGGCAAAATATGGCAAATGTACAAAATAGTGAAAAAATAGGGCGAAAAGATCAAAAATAGGGAAAATCCTCTATAAATAGAGTAAAAAGGCTACCCTGATAGAGCTACAAAATTATATAAAATTAATGATTCCAAATTAATGTTTGAATAAATAAGTTTCAGAAATATGTATGTACATATTACTAAAAATATTTTTTTAATTAAATTTCCGCCACTGTAAATTGGGGTTAACATATGTTTTGTCTTGCGGGGATATCTCTTGAAATAATTCTGCGTTTTGACATGACAGAACATAATAGGTAAAAATTTAAAAAATTCCAAAGTTAAAATTTTGTATAATTATAAAAACTATTTCTTTAAATTAGTTAAATGTTATTTAAGTAAAAATTTTAAAATTATTTATGATTTACCGGAATACTGACAGTCAATTTAATGCCACCTCAAAAGATAAAAGGTATAATTCAAGTTCGTATCGCCTATTTTACTTACTTAAGTATTAAAAATGGTCATTCGGTCATTCTTCGATTACTTCCTCGACTTAACTCAATTTCCCTATTGCTTACAAATCAGTCAAGAAAAGGATTAGCAATTCTAAATGCCATATATTATTCACAAAAACCTTTCGCCTCTTTTTGGAAGTAAGTCGGCATAATTCCGTCTTAAGTACCAGAAACCGATTCAGACAAACAATATGTCATTTGAAAGAGCTCGGCGAGCTGAATCAAAGACGATAGAATTAGGCTCTGGTCTCACCTTGGGCCGAGATAAAGACCTCCGAAAATCGAAAAATATAGAAAGACCAAGCTGAATTTTGTGTTAAAATTTCGAATATGCAACTAAATTGAAAGACTCCTAAAGCTGAGTTGTTTTTGGACCCACGGAGCGATTCCGGTGACATTCGACTCAGCTCAATGAACTCAACATCTTAAAAAATTGACTGGGGGCTAAATAAGTACCAAAATTTGGCGAAAACTAACTTTTCGGCCCCTTCTGATTAAAATTAAGTTGGAGTTGTTCACCATCCCTCCTCTCTCCCTCCTCCCTTTAGCCCCAAAAGGTTGTTCCCCAAAGTTTAGTTTTTTATTTGATTTATTTAACTTTTAAAATAAGAATAATTTTTTAGTGAAAATACCTTTAAATTTAGGTGCAGGCTTGACGCTCAAAGGGTTTTTCGCTTAATAAATTTTAATTAGTTATGAAAAAATAAAATTTTAATATACCTTTACTTTCATTTATCTCATTGTTTTTTCCGCTATTACAGAGATGTATATAAACAGCGACTATCACTAGAATTAAAAGGAATTTTGCCATCCTTTATGGGTAGTTTTTGTTAGTTTTTAAATTTTAAATGATGCTCGTAGTTGTTGAATCCGCTTTTTTATAAATGGGGAGGATGGGGAGGGAGGAAGGGGGGGATGGGGAGTGGGGAGAGGATGGGGAGGGATTTTGCTATTGCTATATTGATGGCTAGAGAAAGGGATAAAGAGTGATGCGAGTGATGGGTGATGGGAGTGATGGGCTAGTGGGGAGGAGGGCGAGAGGAGGGATGGCATAAGACTTCTAAAAAACGCTCTCCTCGACAGTTAATCGATGCCACTCGATTTTTCTATTGTTTAAAAAATTTTACAGAGAAAATTTATTTATAACTTTAAGACACCCCCCCCCTCTCTATGTTTGGGTCCCCAAATGCCGGCGTTATGATTATGCCCATTGCCTATCCAGAAATACATCCATCATGAATTGTTAAAGTTACAAAATATTGTTACCGAAAACATCATTGTGCTTGTTCAAAAGCAAATCAACTAGTATTTACATTATTGTTTATTTAATTGAATAATCCCTAAGATTATTACTGATGATCATCTGGGCTGCATTGTTACAGGCTACAGTCGAATTTAAATTCTTTATTGACGCGAGTGTATAATTAAATTTCTTCGCATGATGTAAAATTTTGTAAACAATAGAAAAATTGAATGGAATTGATTAAATCTCGAGGAGAGCGTTTTTTTATTTTTAAAGGAAGGTCTTATGCCATCCCTCCTCTCCCCCTCCTTCCCACTACCTCATTACCCATCACTCACATCACTTCCATTACTCTCATTCTCTCCCCTATCCCTCCTCCACTCCTTCAATATAGCAATAGCAAAATAAAAAATCATTATTATGATCAACACTAAATATTTTTAATTTTATTATACAACATGGAAGTAATATAAATTTTAT